ACCATTCAATTGTGTACATGATTGTTGCTTGAAGAAGTAGAAGTAATGTTATGAATAGCTTCTTTTCAGTAAAAATTATTACTGTAAGGCAAAAAGTGGTGTAACCTCTATTTATAAAATCATCGACGTATTCGCCATATTAAATTGAGGTCAAATTTTTGTTCAACTTAAAATTTATAATTAAACGCTTATACAGATAGTTTATCTATAACAATGAACTCTTCAGAATAATTACGCATATATATATATATATATATATATATATATATATATATATATAGTCTTATTTGGATTTTTAACGAGTTCTGTTGTGTCATTTAAATAGCTTGATTGTTTTCTTTCAATGAAAGTAAACTTACAAATTAAGGAACCGATAGCTCAAATTACTCATGTAAATATTGTTTTTAACGCATATTAACATAAGCAAATATGCTCGTACCATCATGTGATTTGGTACCCTGTGGTGGAGCAACTAAGCAAAATAGATTATTGAATGGATATTATGAGATCAAACGATTATGCTAGAAGTGTGGCAGGCAGATTTAAGAGTACACATTATGATAAATTGATTTTTTTAACTGACCGATATCTTCCTTATTAATGTATTTGATTTTTTTCTCGAAAATGTTAATTTCCATTAGTCATAATATGCCTACGATTTACTGTATTTTAACCCATTCATTTCATGTTTTATACTATACAAACGCAAAAAATACAAACCATAGGATTTTATTATCGCTAAACTCCGACTGTAGCTCATCAAAAGCCACTGTTTATTCAAAGGCCGGGTACGGTCAGAAGACTGGGCACAGGGTTGTCAACCCCATCTCGTAGACAACAACATTGGCAAAATATATCAGCGGAAAATGAAAACAATTCAAACCCTATGCTCCAAGTTGAAGGTTTCTTATTCAGAAGAATCATGATGCCTTGTGGTAAAAGCCGAGATTCTTCGGAAGTCACGAGACGGATGCGCCTTCTAACAACCTGAGTATATGGAACGTCCAAATAATGTGGAAGATCGGGAGGACTAATCAGATAGCTACGAAATGAGGAGATACAACTTGGTGGTGCTCAGAATCAAAGAAAATCATTGGACTTCAGTTGGACATAAAAGATTAGATTCGAGAGAGATGCTGCTGTACTCCGGTCACGAAGAAGAAAATGCTCCACACACTCAGGAATTTGCTTTTACTGGTTTTAAAAAAGAACGAAAAGTACTCGTAGGATGGGAATCTCATCGATCCAGGGTAATGAGAACATCCTTCAAGGCAAAGAAGGAGGGAATCACAATGAATGTTATCTAGTACTATGAACCCACTGATGATAGAGATGACGACGATAAAAATCTGTTTTTTGAGAGGTTGCAGTCGATCATAGAGAAGTGCTCAGGAAAGGATCTGACCATCCTGATGGCAAACTTAAACGCCAAATCCGGACTAGACAACACTGAATATGCAGATATCATGCAGATATCCCATACAAAACTTGACATACTACAAATGACTAATGAATAATAAAATGTTAAACACTGACATTTTAAAAATGAAATGCTGTTGTAGTGAACAAGTGGCGACAATGGAATGTATTTCAACACAAAATTACAGAATATCTTAGTAAAATCTGAGAACTATACAATAAATACTTCATTTGCAGAATGTCAGTCAATCGTCTCAGACTTCACTGTTCTTTCAATCATTCTCGGTCCTTATTCTTTTTTCTCCGATCTTCCTAATTGTCTTAGCCAGGCATTCTCATTTTCGGTTGATGGTACATATTACTTATATCTGTCGACATTAGTAGCACACACCACACTGTTGTTTAGATGTATATAAATGAAAACAAGTAATCAACTTATAAAATCACTCAATTTGTAGGTAAATCCAGATTCAGATCTCATTCAACTGAAATGTTTATAGATAGATTTTGTTTTTGACTTGAAATAAAATGTAGTACTCATTATAACTGAACAGATTATAATCAGTAATATTTATTTAACTTAATCGTTTAGTGAATTCTACATTTTTTAGTTAGTTCGACCAATTTCTTTGTTGAAATAAATCACAAAGAAATTATTAATTAACGTAAAATTGGTATAATTACCGTTGACTTCATATTCTTCCATGAATGTGTGTAATTTGACAGAATGAAATATTAAATACATTTGGATAGGCAATTTGTCTAACAGTTCTTCGGAAAGGTGTTTCAGAAGACATCAGAAGAATCATAAATAATCAAAATATAAAAGTATTTTTTCGAAGAAACAATACTTTAAGATCAAAATTAGTAAGAATTAAAGATCCAATTCACAAAGAAGAACAACAAAATTGTGTCTATGAAATCAGATGTAGTGACTGTAATGCAACGTATGTAGGTGAAACATCAAGACAACTGAATATGAGGGTGAAGCAACACAAATAATGCTTGAAACACATTTTAAAGTCCTCAGACGATGTAAGGAAACTGGAGAACAAGTCTGCTATAGCATTATACTCGATAGAATCGGGTCATACAATTGATTTCGTTGGCACAAGAATCCTTCAAAAAGATTTCAATTCATACAAAGAAAGACAAACAGCTGAAGCCCTATACATTTGGGCTAATCCAAACAATATTAGTAGAAGGGATGGAATACAATTAGCAGTGCCATGGCAGCTAATCATTAATATGTAAAAACCTGAACTCCTTACCGTTTCTTATCTATCTAGTATTATCTAAATGACAACAAATGCATTCAGTCATTCTAATCAGTTGTCTTATCGGAATTTGTTAAACAATTAACTGGAACATTAAAAATGACGCATACATCCAGTTTCAAATTACATTCTTCCTCTTCAAATTTTACTCTTTTATTTTTGTTTTGTTTAATTATCTTCATTGTATACATGCTGTGACACATATGATTCATATCATACATTACAAATTGTATGTTTTCTTATAAATTCACCGATAAGAGACAATATATATTGTGAATGAAATTTCTCGAGGTAAGATGGTGCAAGCAGTGTCGAGCCACCTAGACTGGTGGTCACATTGCAACTCGATCGATAGCATTCGATCAGCACTAAGAAGGACCTGACACGCATGAGATTGATCACCACCCAGTGATCAATCAATTGTGATGAAATTTCTCCTCTAACCACTTACGTTTCTATACAATATGTTATATTACAATTATCATTTCACATCACAAATCTCTTACACACTAATACATATACCTAGTTTAGACATTTTTAACGTTGATTGGATGACCTATTCAGTGTACAATGAAACGAAGAACCATGTACCTATTTGAATAGGAATAATATATATATGCAAAATGTACCTATTTATATTCGATAATTTTGATGTTTGATTATAATTCCTTGAAAAAGCTTGGACCAGATTGCCAGGCGAAACGTTGGATTTACTACAAATTCATTCGCTGAGATTTTACAAATATATTATTCCTATACAATGTCTAACAATTCTTCTGTTAGGAAAATAAACAAACATAATTGAGGAATATGTAAATCAATTGATTAGTTAATCTATTCACCAAACTGTCAATTTTTAAAAAGAATAATTCAACCAAAATGACAAATATCAAAACATTAGTCATATAAGTAAACTTATAAACCACTTGACTATGAATGTTCAAATGTATTGTACAGAAGAACGACCTTTATATCACCTGTAAAAATAGTTTTAAACTCCTGATTTTCATGGTATGAAGTTAATCGCTTTTCAATATAGAGGACTTAATAGATTTTTCAACTTGAAGAGTTTCTCCGAAACTAACATTATTTGCTTAACTAATGAGAATCACTAAGCATTCTCCAAGAGTTTTATCTTATATTAAGGGACACTTAATAGTCCTGATTGATCACATGCCTTCGAAAATACAGATAAACAAAACTATCACATTTACTATAATCTCAGAAAGGATATTGTTGCATAAATAATAATCAGATGCTATTCCCTTATGCCAACAATTATAACTTCTACGGTTATTCACTTGGTATTGTTTGTTTGAATCTTCCCATCGATTTTGTTAGGACTGAAACTGGTCAGTCTCTAATTGGCATATGTGCATGCTGTGCGTATTGCCTCAATATAACTTAATTCACAAGTATGGTTAGCAGAGGGTACTGGGTTCGAGTCCCAAAGTGAACATCAACTCTGAGATGCAGGTAACTCCAGCTGACGAGTCCCAAATAGGACGAAAGGCGCATCCTGGATTCCACTGCTAGCCACTATCCATTTCTACGGTTATTGTTTAATAAAATTTTCCACTAGAAAAACTAAATTAAGTTTTGATTTAACAAAGTAATATTGAGAAAATATATTCTTAAATACCCTACATCTAAACAACCAGTGAATAATATCTTTTTTACTTAAATAGATAAACAAAACGTAATAGATGGTCAATCAATCCCTTTTATTCATCAATTTCATTATTATATAACAAATATACTGTTTAGATTAAATGAATCATGTGACATAGATGAGAAAATAAATATCATTACTTAATCAAGTGATCATTATAATTTATGTACTATTTGAGTACTTAAGTATTCATTAAATATCAGAAGGGGTTTTTGTGGATATTATAATAATTTTAATAGTTGAGATCATTAGTCGATTGAAGCCAGACCACCATAGAGGAGTTCCACAATAGGATGAAACGGCCGTCTAGTACTTCTAGGTTTTCCATGGTAGTCTAACTTTAATTGACTTATGATCTCAATTACTAAGATATTCATTAAATATATATCTTCACTTATCTAAAATAAGGACCTTATTTTAAATGATAGAAGAAAGTTGTGAATAGCCCTTATGGAAATTATCGTTCGATAAAGTTATTTTATATTTTTGAGTGATATTTTTATTAGTTTCTAAACTGAATACAATAGATTTAGTTTAATGCATAAATTATACTTTGTTACCATGAAAAAGTAAAATAAACTTTGATCAATCTATAATAATAAAGGATTAGTATTGGTTATTTGAATATTATGATGAAGTTGATCCGTATCAATGATTAACCATTTGAGAAAATGAATCCAATATTAAGAATATGTAACAAGATTAAAGTTTATGCAATAAAAGCTTCTATTCACAACAGATAGCTTCATGAAAAAGGAATGATACTGAATGAATAATGAATTCATAAACATATACATCTAGTCTTATGACGATTTCAAATAACATTCCCAGTAGATAATGACTTTCACTTATGATATGAATATTTATTAGATTAACTATGTTTTTGGAAACTGTATTAACTGAATTGGTCAACAACAAGTATCATATTTTTCAAAGATGTATGAAAAAAGTCATTTCTCAAAAACAGTACTATTAATGTGAATCACATACTTAATGATAATATTTTTAGCGGTAAATAAATCTTCAAAATCAGTAGCTCTGTAAGTCTTCAACATTTGATGATGACCACACTAGTTTTAATGAACTTACCTAGCTTAAGGCGCTCGATCACTTATCTGCACCAGATCACGAGTGGGAACTCCGTGTTTAACTTCTCTAGCAATCGCTAGCAAGTTTCGATCAGTTACTTGTCAATATATTGATAACCTATCAAATATATCTTCGAACCTCTTCACTTGTGACTTTTGATTTCACTGGGTCAGCGCAATTCAATTATAGAAGATGTTTCTGGTTAAAATGTTGTCAAACTCTAAATACCCGAAGCACCTTCATATTCATCAGTAAACACCTACAAACATTAAATTCGGTCGCTTTTTTATTCACATTTCAACCTCTTTGAACAAATAAAGATTATAATACACGTTTTGTGAAATTTCAATAAGATACAGAAACGTACACTTTGTAAATAATAACAGGTGATCGCTGGTATTGTGATATTTTAAACAATTTATCTATCTATATCTATATAGCTATATAGATATAGATAGTACTTTTATTTATGCTTCTAATATATAAACACAGAAATGAGGACAAATAGTTATCATTTAAATGAAACACTATTCTATTATTCTGTCAAATAATGAATAATGAATCAGGTTATTAGTAATAATCCTTTATTCTATACAATATAGATATAAATATAAATAAATATTAGAATGTACAATCGAAGAAAGTGTCTAGATAAACAATTTATTACAACAAAATATGATATTCAATATACTTCAACTAAATTAGTATTATACAATTGGATGAATACAAAAGTTAGTTAATAATCATGAATCGATTGTATATTACAATTGTAAGATAGTAATTAAATGTTTTTTTCCTCTTTTTTCCTTCTTTTCTCTAATTTCTTTATTGAGTTTATTGAAAGTTTTCCTCGTTTTATCCATTGTATATTAGATGATTGGTTCTTTTACTGAATAAACTTAAGGATAACATTGGCGTATTTTATATTTTTTTTAAATGTTTTTTTTCATTATAAGAACTCAGGTCTTCTACAATAGATTGAAAACAAAGAATAGTGAATATAAGCAAAGATGGATTTAAGGCTATATCGAGGCAATACGCATAGTATGTACATATGTCAATAAGAGACTGACCAGTTGTAGTCCTAAACTACAATGGGAAGATTCAAACAAACAATATTAAGTGAATTTAAAGAATAGTGAATTTATGAATTGTAGTGTATGTTTAAATATGGAGTATAGGAAAGTTTTACTACATAGTTGGTTAGTTAAAACTTAAGCTAATCAATAGTAGATGTTGATAATTAGAGAATTTACTAACAAAATAAAATAAATAATGAATATTGATTCAACATTTTGATATCTGTTATGATTAAATCAAGTTAAGTACATATACACTTACTGGTTCGCGGCCTATGCTCCATCGGGAATAACAAGTGTAAGTGAAGTAGCATATACACTTACATCAATTTAGAATTTTATATGGAGAAAGTTAAAATTATTCGATTAATCTTTTGCCTTTAAACAATATTTATTTATAAGATATCATCACCTTGTAAACATATCTGATGGTAGACATTGTAGTATCTTTATCGTTTCTATTGTACGTAAACCATATATCTTGGTCATATTCGTATTCGTTGATAACCAAATCACATAACATATTTTGCAAATTCACTTGTTGTTGTTTATTTGTATTTTCCCACTGTTATTTTGGACTGCGATTGATCAGTCCCTTGTTGAAGTGAATGTTACTGGGTTCGAGTCCCAGAGTGAACATCAACTCTGAGATGCAGGTACATCCAGCTGGCGAGTCCCAAATAGGACGAAATGCACGTCCCGGATTCCACTGCTAGCCACCATTCATCTTTGCTTATTATTTTTTGATTGTGTACAAACATAACGTAATGGTCTTTATTATCACTGTTCAGTTTATTAAGTCTTTAGTTTTACAGTGTTAATTCTTTTAAAAATTCATTGAGAAACATATAGACGATGAGGATTATATAGTTTGTTCGTTGTATCCTGTGAAAGATTCATTTTGGAACAAACCAGACCATTTCTTTATTGATACATGAGAAAACGTTGATTTTTCTTTTCGTAATAACGGATGCTAACTCTAAGATATATTTCGGTATCATTTTACTTAATTGTTTAAGTAAAAACCTGTCAAAAACATAATTACCTTTATTTTTTCGATGATATTGTAGACAAATCATTTAAGAGATTTTGGTATGACCGCAGCACAGATAAATAAGTCAAATAAACTAAAAGGAAGGTAATTATTGTCATATTATTACTCTCTATTTTATTATTCAGAAAATATTCAACAACTCGTTTTAAGAAACACAGTGGCGAAAGAAATGCAATTCGAAATCAATTTAATACAAATAAGGTCTTGAGTAAAACTATTCGACAACAGAAGGATGTTCCGATAGATCGATTAGTTGAAACAAAAATATGTAATAAACAGAACATGGGGAAACCTATTAAAGGTTCTTCAACGTTTAGTAGTTGTTTATTCTGTTTATATTTAACATAGACTATCCACTTAGATTCTTGTCATATGAACCACAACAGGCATGTGTATTGTTTCAATTCACCGTTTGAAACACTTGAGAAGAACAAACATGTGAAAGATGTCAGTGAGTAAATTATCAATTTTCTAAATTTTATATTTCAAAAGGTTGAAATTAATTTTTTCGTTCCAAATTTGAAAGAAATCCTTATAACACTCCGATGTAAATAATTATGTGTTAACAATATGTGGTTTTAGCCTACAAAGTTTCATTTGGAAAGGAGAATTGAGAAGAGTAATCCACTTTTGGATATTTCAAGCACGATTTTGGGATCATCTGCATGATCGTTAAAAATATCAAGGCACTAGACAGCGGTGCTCAATCATTTCAGGATTATGAAAATCATCTAATATGATCTTTTTATTCTATTTAAGTTGAAAATGTGAACCACTAGATTCTAACTCAATTGTAGTAAAGTGGATTTTAGGTTAAATCCATGTGAAGCTTTACACTTACCAGTTGTTTTATTGTTCATACAATTACAAATATGTTTCAGTAAAACAACTAACTGTTATTTATTTATTTATATTACTTCCCATAATTATGTTATTCTCAGATAATGCAAATCAATCTTGTCTATTAAAACGTTATGAAATGCGAAAAAATGAGTAAGTGACAAAATGATAAATTTGTAATGTTTTTAATTTGTTTCCATTTATTACTGAACGTTACTTGCTAATTTGAACTTTAGTGTATAAGCTTATTTCTATTTGAACTAAGTCATTATTGATGTTGTTCAAGCCAACAACGAATGTTTTACGGTCGAATCATTCAACCTGAGGTACATAACACAAATAAATGTGTCTATCTAAGATACTAAATCTAACTGATTTGTATTCTTGATAGATAACCTCTTCACCGTACAAAAGACACGATATTTCAGTTCATGAAGTATCGAAATTTCAAAACACGTACAGTTCAATTTCTAGAGGTTAAGCGCTTGCGCGCATCACTGATAGGTCCTGGGTTCCAATCTCGTGAGGCGGGATAGTGGGTGCGCACTGCTAAGGTGTCCTACAATAAGAGGAAACTGCCGTCCAGTGCTTCCAGGTTTTACATGGTGGTTTAGCTTCAATGGACTTATGAATTCAACTATAAAAAATCATTAAAATCTCCACAAACCCCTTCTGATCAAGTTCATAATTATTCAAACTTTTGATTGGTGGAACATATGATTAAAATATCCCAATATTTAGTTTGTTGAGCATTATGACTAAATATTAGTCCATTTTTATTTTCACTACATTGAAATTGTTTGCTGTTATAAATGAATCTCTAATGTCTATAAACCCAACAAACAGAGAAACATCATAGTTACTATCATTTAAGAACAATCAACTTATTGCATTTGTGATTATTTTTACCATTTAAAATATGAAAATTCTTTTCTTTGATTGGTTAACTGTGAAATATGATGTCAAATATCTTTTAACTTTAGTTGAAACCAAAAATATTACCGTTATCGAGTGGTATTGTGAATTATGAATTCACCAATAATTGCTTTTAAAAGTCCTTAATTAACGTTTTTCTTTTCTTTCGGAAAATAATAATTTCTATAAGGTAGTTTTGCTGAAAGAATAGTAACAAATTAGAATGTGACTAGAAGGTACTGATGAATATGTCAAGGTAAAAACATACTTTATTTCATGACTTATTAGTATTTATTGTCATATCGTCTAATATTTAATGCCGATCACATGGCTTTCTGACCAAAAGTCAGAGTCGCTTAAAACATAAGCCCATATACAAAGTTAGATATGGGTCGTTAATGGATTCTGTCAATCAAGCAATCTAGATTCGGAGATAACTGGCGATTTCTTCTGAACCTATTTATAAGATATTGGTCACAGAAATTCTGTACTAAGAACTATATTGTGAAATAAATCCTTTTGGAACTTCATATTCTTTTTATTAATTACAACTTATAACAGTTTAATTTATTAATTTGATCTGTTTAATTCAAAGTAACAAGCTATTTATAGTTCAAGACTCGTCGATATTTAACTAAAGATAATACTTGAAAGTGTAGATGTACAAGTCATGGAATTTCATAGAAAACATTTGAATATATGTAAACGCTTAATGTTGCTTATATCATTATACAAAAGAATATTGGTTATTCTGTATTGATAATCTTTACTGAACTTCGATCAATCTTTGACGACCGATGTGCATCCTATGCTGATTGCCTAGAGTTTTACTAATGTTTGCATAGCTGGTGGATTTTTGACTGACTGTGAAGTTCCATTTTCGACTCGTTTTCTACATGTCTGCATCCGAGTCCTGATGTTCCGTGGAAACCGCGTTTGTGGCCAGAATTGGAAGATGTTGGGTCCGAGTACCTAGGTGGACATTGGCTATGTGATTCACCTTCATACAGATGATGAGTCCTGAATAGGACGAAACGTGTGCCCTGGATTTTACTGCTATCCATAAATCGATCAACTATATATTTCATGTAACAATATTTAACCATCTCAATGTGTTGTATACAACTAAAAGATGTTTGTTCAGGGGATTCAATATTCTATTCTAGTTCAAACAAACAAGTCTTAAAAGAAAATCAATACAGGTGCAGGTGTAATGTCAACCTTCATTAAAATCCGTTAATTTAATAATACTACTGTTTTACAAGATAGTAATGACAACATAATATGCAATCATTGGCTTAATATGGTAGCATTATTGCGATAAACCAAATTAATAAAACCATTTACGAAGATAGATTATTTTTACCTTTGACAGTATATCGCTCTATACTCAGCTGATCAATCACTTGTCACCACCTGATTATCAAAAACATTTCGTAAAAATTTATTCTAAACTGGATTATTGACGATAATACTATCGTTAAAATATTATAAAAATCAATTAATTACTATGATTATGTTGTATTTCATTAATAATAATTAACTATTTCAAGTAAAAGCAAATCTGGTTTATCATCACTCATCTCTAGTGTGAGCCTATAGCAATTAAAAAGTGTGTCTATTCCTTTATCCCTATAATTATTTTGGGATTTAGATGAGTGTAAAATGTCTTTACTTATCGTGACGCTCTCTCCATTGAGATGAGTTTCAGTAAAATACATATAAATATAATGATTAAAATATGCAATTTGTAAACGTTTACCAAGTAAAAATTAGTTTTCATCACAGATAGACATCTGCTGTAACTTCGTTGAGAACTAGGTAATGTTAGCCACCGTTTTGGCTACAACTAAGGATTTCCTTGAAAGTAATCAGCCACGAATATAAAAGGATTCTAATACAGGATATTCGAACCATTTGTTCAGTAAGATATTCCCAAATTAATGGTTCCAATTTCAATCAGTAGAGTTACTTCTGCTTTCTTAAACAGTTTTATGCAGTTTACATGGTTACTCTGTTTGGGAAATTACTGATTTTTTGCATCCCTCCGAACCTGTTGAAAGTAAATGAAAACGCACATATCTAAATTGAAGAGAAATTTCATTATTTTATATAACCCTTCCAACATTTTTATGTCGTCTATAATAAAGTAGAAAACTCTTTTAAAAAGGCTTTCATCATATAATTGTATATCTTGTATCAAAGTATAAGTATATATTATCTTTACTTAATTTTAGTATTCGTAAAGGTGAGAATGAGAAACTTGACAGAAATATATCCTCAACTACTTGAATATTAACCATATATTCATAAACATTATAACACGATGACATTTAATTAGTAATAAGTCATTATTATATTTTAATAGAGTGACACGAAATGATACGAAACAAAGTAAGGGTAACAGTAATGGTTGGGCAACATCTATAGGTTGTGAACAACAGCGAAAAAAGTACAATACAAGTGGTGTAACAATCCATTATGAAATCCAAAACATTGACATTTTGGTCGCATCAATAAAAAAGATATTATGGAAAATAAGTTGAAAGTTGAACTACTCCAGGAAATATGAAAACATTCAAAAATGAAAGACATTTCAAACATTTAAGTAAATGGGATGAAACTAAAAATAAAAGCCTTTGATTTAATCGTATACACTCATACGATATGTACCTTACAAGTGCTAATTTTGAGCTTCATGAAATTACACTTACTGTTAAACTACTGGAACCGACCAACTTTGGTCGGTGACATAATCCTATTTACCTCATACTGTTGGTCAGTTCCGAAGCTGAATAAAAACTGTATTTCATAAGGAAATAGTAATTTATAAAACTTTGTTACATTGCAAATTATTCTGCTTAAAACGTTACTTCATAAATTGAACACGTTATTCAATTTGATCTTATGTAATGAGACTTTTTCATTTTTAAATGTAAAAGTCTTTAAGTTGCATGTTAAAGTTCAATGTATTTTTCCAACTTACTTCTAGATGTTCATTTAAAAGGCTGAAAAATCTCTGGAAACAACAATTTGATCAATTCATTCTGCCTGTTCTAACAAGACGTAATATCGATACAAATGGAACTAAATATACTGGAAAATCTACTACCACCACGCAGAAAAAAGAAACCTATGAAATGTCGCCTCATGTAACGCAAATTTTAAACAATCAATCTGGAGAGATTAGTCAACATTTAAGCTCTTCCAAATCACACAGCTCCTTATGCTCTTCGAAATGTGAAGTTAGAAGCTATCAAGATTATGGTGAAAACTTCCTGAAAAATTTTGAAGATAAGTATACATTTAGTGGTTCATCAAATTTAACTGGATTAACGATTTATCTATATTGTTCAACATGTAGTCAGATTTTCACATGCAGAAACATTGATGATTTAAAACAACTGAATTTGATTGAATCTGACTCATTTTCATCTACTTACTACTTAACCTTTGAAGACGAAGATATCGGTAAGTCATGAAAAAGAAAGTTGTTGAATATCATGATATCTAAACAATAACTATTGAATGGAATGTCTGAATTAAAAAGTTAAACTGGCTGTCAATAAATTTCTAGAATTCTTAGTTGCATCTGATAGACCAACAGTGATAATTTAGAAGGCAAAGTTTTTTTCCTTAGAAATTTCATGAACGTGAATTTTAACATGGTGTACTTCTATTTGCATCCCATCTAAAAAATTAACTGATTTTTTCAATGTCTTGATGGCTATTTAAAACATGATATGAAAGCTAGACATGTTTGACTGATATTTAGTAAATATGATTGTTAAGATATACAATCATAGTTCATTTAAAAGAAAGTAACAGAGTCCATAGAGTTCTCAATTTTATAGAATGAGTTAGTAGTTAGGACTACTTGACATTATTTTACTATTTTTCAAATTAGCTACATAATTTCATCAAAATAAATTACAATTTCATCAAGACGATAAATGTAAATAAAAACCATTCATAATGAGAGTCAATTAAAAACTGTTTAACATTTTGATGGTTGAAAGCATGAGTCAATTGAAGCTAGACCACCAATGAAAACCTAGAAGCACTGCACGGCTGTTTCGTCCTAACATGGGACTCCTCAGTAGTGCGCATCCAGGATCCCTCCTTGTGAGATTCGAACCCAGGACCTACCGCTCTTGCACCAGAGAACTCAAACTCTAGACCACTGAGACTGCATCCGATGGTGTTAATGCCTAGTTTCAACCAATCCACGAAGTTGAGCAACCGTTCACCAATTGTCTTCAGTGAGTTTCTATCTCACAACAGACGTGGTTGAACTCCACTGGTCACTGCTTATCACCATAACTCCAGGAAGTACCTCTTGAAGTCAGTCACTAGTGAGCAAATGATTATTATTATCAGAAGGGATTTTTCTTGGTGGTCTAGCTTCAACTGACTCATGCTTTCAACTATGAAAATACTGAAATCCCCACAAAACCCTTTCTATAAAATATGTTTGAAAGTTCACGAATAATTTAATTGTCTATGAACTAAACGACTGACATATTACCATTTGATCTCAAAGATGTGAATACATTTTTCGGGATTTTTAAACATACACACAATTCATTCAGTGAATGTACAATTCAGAATGATATTTTAACAGTTTTACGTAAATTGAGTCATTCATTAAAATAGCCAGCATAGAGTTCAGAAATGAGCGCTTGTTCACATTTCTGTCATCCAAGTTTATATTTTCTCGTTTGAATGTTCATATTAAGTTAGGATTTTTATATCTGGTTTTGTTTCATTTTTTATTTCATAGAAAATGAGTTTGCGTCCGAAGAATCATTTCTGTCATCCTGGGAATATATGAACCCATCATATGAATGGATTAAATCTTCTCGTCCTGTTTCTGCACCACCAATATTGACTTCTTTATCAAGAAAATCAGCACAACAGTTAAAACAATAAAATAATTCTAACCAATGACTTTCAATTCCAGTTCACATTCCGCCAACTTATGAAATGTTTCTGTTTTAAACTTCAGTTTCACGCAAACCAATTTAGTTTTTACTTTTTATAGTCCATTATCCATTATATAAAGAATAAATTATGCATACAGAATGAACTAAAACATATAATGTTATTTTGAGTAATGTAGACGCAAAACTGTATAAGTCACAATTCTATCAATCATTATATTAACAAGAATAACTCTAGCATGCTATAAAAAACGAGACATTTTATTCTTTTTGATATTATTTTAAAAATTTCATTTCATATGAAGTTTGTTTTACATTAGCACCAATCAATTATAATGTGAGTCTACATGACTTGAATGGCTACAAACAGTATGTTATAATTCAAAGATGGGTTTTGTGATAACATTTAAATAGGTTGGACAAAAGTGAACCCGGTTTAGCTGTCTTTTGTGAACCAGGATATTTCAAGCAAAATTATATCTGAAGAAATATAATCATTATAACTACCGTTGTAGTGAACAGAACACTGGTTGGGGACAATCGAATGTATTTAAGCAAAGATTACAGACTATCTCTTCTGCCAAAATACATTCTATGTCTGACCCACACCATATACTACTTATATGGATATAAGTAGACCACACCACACTCGTCCCCCCTTTAAAGCATTCGTTCATGCGGTGGTTCTGCTCGCCACGCTGCTATCTTCTTCCACTGCAGTCTGTGCCAAACTCTCCGTCAGAATGTCGAGTCTGCGGCGCGCTGACCTCCATAGCTCCGTCGACCTGCCGGGGCACCAACATCCGCATCCACCCGGCACCTGGGACGTTCAACACCCGTACTCCACCGGGCTGCTGAGCCATCTATATCCGATGTCCGCCCAGCAGCCGCACGTCCCACTGCTCCTCTCCGTCGACAGCACCCGCTACAGCCAACGTCGCCCCGCCAGAACACTCCACTCGACGCCACCTCTCCTCACCAGACTGCCCCAACTAGCACCTCAACTCCAGACCCACAGCGGCGTCCGCAGAACAGCACCCTTCCTCCTCCCGGTTGGCAACGACACCAAATGTAGTGAACAGAACACTAGTTGGGGACAATCGAATGTATTTAAGCAAAGATTACAGACTATCTCAATAAATTCTGATTACCAAACAATGAACAGTCAATTTGCAAATTAACAACCAATTGTTTCAATCTTCACAGTTTCTTCTCTAATTCCATTGCTCATGCATTTTCCAGACGATTGCGCTTCATTCCAGTTCTTTCGTCATCGGTCTTCTGCCAAAATACATTCTATGTCTGACCCACACCATATACTACTTATATGGATATAAGTAGACCACACCACACCGTTAATAATATATGTAGAATGAAAGAAGAATGTCGTTGTGTTATTGTTATTTAAATTAACGTACAAAAACCATATTGAAACAACTGATTGCTGTCATTTACCAGTAATTAAATTAAAGACAATTTGATAAAATCTTATTAATAACTGATTCGATAAGTAACATTCAGTAACTGTTAGGATTTCTTGTTCATGGAACTGTCATCCAGCCTAGCATTCGAATAGACATAAGAACAGGAGAAAGGCTATTACTACCACTTTTACAGGACACATAGAAATACTCTGAGTTGTTATTTCCATATAATATATATATATATATATATATATATATATATATATATTACTTCAATGAGTATTCTTTCTGTTAAAGTTAGCTTATTTAAAACGATTTCACTGGTCTTATGCTAACAAAGATACACACTTTACGGCTGTGATTACTTCAACCAGAACTCTTCGAATGCTTGTTAGAGTCATTATTCAAAAGTTGCATATCCAAGTCGTATTCTGTATGGTGATAAGATAGCAGTTTTTCTTGTCATATTATAGGTTAACCTTATTCATTTAACGTTGTGTACACCCAAATATACTATATAATCATTATGCTTTATTTGAATTAGTAGATAACAACGATTTGTCTTAATTTGATACAAAATTTAAGCAGAATAAAGTTAATGTTTAATTAAGGCTGTTTGTTCAATGTAATTGAGAATAGAGCATAGGAAAAGTTACTTTTTGATCAATATATCGAGATCCTATTTCAAGTTACATTGAATTGAAAGAACAAATAGACAAAAACTAAATTATTATACAGTTGATTATCTCATCCAAAGATACTTATCATTTATTTTATTAAAGTTTCAGTTTATAGTGAACGTTCATTTCAATTCTGAACTGGAATTTCAATGGAATATGTTTGTTTTATTTAATTCTGTACTTTCAAACATTAGCTCATATGAAAAATATGATTATTATTTTAAATCAAAGTACAATGTTAAATTATATTTTTAATCAGATGGTAGAAGCGTTGCGACAAACCGTTTATTTTCTGAAGTTATTAGGTATTTTGCTCAGTAAACATTGATATATTTTATGAACATTCAGTATCATAAGAATATCCAGTGTGGTTCTGTTTGTTAATTTTAGACTGCATTAATGGTGATGGTTTATCTGTTCTGAATATTAATTCATTAGGAGAAAATTCTCAACCCACTCTTAAATAATTTTTTAGGTTAGTTATGTCTCTTTTAACTTTGAAGTAACCCATATTTTTCTTCTAAGGTCATTTTATTAACGGAAAGGGGCTTTGTGAAGATTTTAGTAAATTACTGGTCGGATTCATGAGTTGAATAAAGCTAGATCACCTTGGAAAACCTTGAAGCTTTGGACAGCCATTTCACCTTAGTATGGGACTCCTCAGCAGTGCGCATCTACGACATTAGCACTGTTGAATGCCGGCTCATTGACCTAGGGGTTTCGCGATCACGCGTTCATGGTTTACTCTTTCATGCAGAACATTAGTATAGTATGAGATCAGATAGAATTTCGAAAGAATTAGAAATAACACACAATCACATGTACAAAAAATGAATTCAATTGATTCCCACTAGGAACATTTCCTTGAAATAATATCTAGTTCAGCGTTAATATGTCCACTAAAAGGTAATGGGAATTTCGATGCACCAAAGTAACACACTTGTAATCACTATTTCTAATATCTGAGGAAATTGAAACTATCAATAAACAAATAAGATAAAACTTACGAATTTCATGTGGAAAACTTTTGCAACGTATTATTAGAATATTTTATACAATTGAGAAACAAATTAAATCATAGGTTGCAGAAAATTAGAAAACACTAGAATATTGAAAAATGAAATATATAGGAAAGAAAGTTATCATAAAGGTGATATGATTTGTTGGAAGTTCCTATATCATATGAAATTCTGTGATATCTAATAATCACACTTCATGAGGTCTTATATGTCGCTTGTAATGGATTTCAGATTTTATTCACTTTCTGACTCGTTAGCACTCTACTGTAAACAATCAATAATCGTACTATTGGTTATGCAGAGCATACATCTTAAATTGTTTAACCTATTAAGAAGAATTATATAGCAGTACGCTCTAACAGGCGTATTTATCGCCGATTCCTCAGGACAAAGCTTGTTAATAAAGGTAACTTGAACAGAGCTTAAGATGTTCCTAATTTTAAACTAATAGGATGAAAATTTGTATCCTAATTGATTCAGTAAGTTTCTACTTTAGATATTTCGAATTTATTATTTTGAAGGGTAAAATGGGATCAGTACGGTGTAAATGCAGGAAGATTAATGATATACCACAGTTTCAGAAATTTTAATAGAAAAACGAACTATTCATTAAAATATTTTCAGTAATTCTGGTAAATTTCAGTTGAATGAAAACCCAATCTTACCTCGTATTATTTAACATATGTTAGTAAACTTGTTAAGACAAATCCAGTTGTTCTTGGCATGTAAACATAAAATATTAGCTCCCGATTCCGAACTTACTCTATACCTTTATTATGTCTTTTGATTTTCAGTGAAAGGAATAACTCAAGGATACTGACACTTAACAATCAAGGAAATACTGCACGAAGAGATTTAAACCTTTTTGTTTTTTTTTCATAGGAGAACATTGAGTAGTATTTTAGTACTTCGGTGCCAAACATCTAAACCATAACGGGTTAAATGCTTTGAATTTCAAACAGGAGCTCCTTACATAACATTAATATTACGTTTCACACAATACTACTTGCTAATAATAAGTAACTCAACAGTAACAACAAATGAAAGATTTTGTTATGGCGTTAAACAGAGATGGTGTGATGTGGTCTACTTATATCCATATAAGTAGTATATGGTATTAGTCAGACATAGAATGTATTTTGGCAGAAGACCGGTGAGGAAAGAACTGAAACGAAGCGCAATCGCTAGGAAATTACATGAACAATGAAATTAGAGAAGAAACAGTGAAGATTGAGACAATTGCTTGTTAATTTGCAAATTGACTGTTCATTGTATGGTTGTCAGAATTTACTGAGATAGTCTGTAATTTTTGCTTAAATACATTCGATTGTCCCCAACCAGTGTTCTGTTCACTACAATGGTAGTTGATTAACCGTAAATCAGCTCGAGTCAGATGAAACATCATAAGAAGTAAAATTAGCACCGGAGTGAAATTATACAATTATCAATTCATATTGTCTATTACTAGAATCGGTCATTGCAAAGCTCACCACATAGTGACTAATTCAGATTTCATAGTCTCTGAATATCTTTGATAAATATTTCTAGTTTGCTACACCAAGTTCGTGAAATTTATTGTAATAACTTCGTTTTATTTTTTAATCACTTTGAATTAGTTTTCAGTTATCAAAATTAGGTTGAACATCCCAAACATTATTTAGCACAAATTTCTATTTTAATCAACAAGTCATCTACAAGCATACTAGATACATGATTAGTTACGTAAATGACAAATATGTTATTTAAATTTGGGCAAAAAGTAGAATGTCCGAAGTTACTGTGGTGTGCTACCAATGTCGACAGATATAGGTAGTATGTATTACCAATCGATAGTGAGGTACCTGGCGGCAGAAGGTTAGGAAGTTCGAAGAAAAAAGAATGATTGATGTGGAAATCAAGAAATAGTGAAGCCTGAGACGATTGATTGACATTTGCAAACGGAACGGTCAAGTTTGAGACAATTGATTGACATTTTGCAAAATGAAGCATTTGCTGTACAGTCTTCTGATTTTACTGAGGTATTCTGTAATTTTTTATACAAATACATTCGATTGTCGCCACTTGTGTTCTCGTTCACTACAGTACTACTGTAATCTTTTCTTAGTGATAAATAGTTACTAAACTGCTTGTTTGTTGCTTAAAAAAATCTAGAAAACACGGAAATTTCGTTTTATAAATGCACATCAGTGGCATAATTATTCTAAGCAAAGATGGATAGTGGCTAGCAGTGGAATCCAGTAAGTGCGTTTCGTCCTATTCGGGACTCGTCAGCTGGATGTACCTGCATCTCAGAGTTGACGTTCACTCTGTAAGTAGAAACTAGTACTGTTCGCTTTAAACGCCACCGCGTTATCCACTCAGCTACTGAGTTCTGATGGCCACTTGCTTGTGCAATGGGGTGAAGTTTAA